TTTTGCTATTCTCTATCTCAAGGCGTTATTCTCAGTAGTGAGAACCGATTTTTATAATCTCCTGTGTGAAGTTACGTATAGTGGCGAAGGGGATGAATCCGGGTTTGCGCACTTTCCGGTAACCGATTTCAATAAAACTTGGCAAATAGATGTAATTCCACGTAGTTTTCAGATCGGTTTTCTAAGTACTCTGTACTGAGATTATCTAAAAACTATTCTTGGCCTCGAGTCCCATTATAACATTGTTGTTTTCTCGGAGTTGTTTTTATGGAGACAGCGTAATCGTAAATCGAAGGTATGATCGCCTTCAATACCGCACGACAATATCTATATACAAATTTATTCTTGTTTCTCTGTCATTATATCTGTTGATGAGATCAAATATTAAATATTTTTGATTTGGGTTAGCTAATAGCTACATAATCATTTATTATTGAGTTGTGTAAGTATTAAACTTAGATCGAGACCGTTTAAACGTAGACAAGGTTTTGCTTGGATTAAATCATGCAAAAAAGCTGCGTCTATGTTGAATACTTTTTCATGTAGTTAATTTTCCCCCTCTCCGTATCAAATTAATAAAATAAATGACACAAGCTCAACTACAGTCACGAATAATAATTCTTCGGCAGAGAGTGGAACAATCAACAACTCTTGTGGATGTCATGGGTATATTTTTGATAGTGGTATTTGCAACTGCAGTTCCACTTTTTTGTTATTTATTTATTTTATTCGGAAGGAGGGTGGGAAAGTTTATAGCATAAAAAAATATTCAACACAGACGCAGCTTTTCTTCACGATAACCGTCACTGGCGTCACGAAATAGCAAATTAATGCCGTAAAGTAACGCCTGAATCAATTAATTAGATCAGGATTCATCTGTAGCGTTTCACTTGTGCCTAAATGTTTAGTACGTCAGCTCTGTGTGTAATCTGTTTATAATATTGGAGACATGGTGCAATTACTTCGTAGTATATGTGTGGCATACCTTTGTAAATAAACTTGGGACCAAACATCGCAATTTCAAATGCAAAATAGACCCTATTAGTGGCATCGGACCGAATTGTATCGAGTGTACAAAACTTTATTTGGTATTGCACTGTTGTAGTGGTAGGAATGACTGTTTCCATCGGTATTACTCTAAAGATACTTTTCATCTTCTTTGAAAGTATAATTTTAACCAAGACTGGGAACAGTTTGTGATGGTTGGTTATGTAGAATACGTCTTCACCAAATGAGTAATTAATAGGAACAGAAGACATGTCTAACAACGGCGGGCTAATCTCAACGGGGCTTGGCAAAATGTCAGCAAAAATTCTAGTAGTCTTTCGAAATATAAACTCATCAGTGTAAGCATCGTAAAAAGTTAAGTCGTAATAACAATTGTGACAACCAATGTGCTCGATTGCGTGCAAATACACAGGAATTCTATATTTTTTAGAACTTGTTTTAACGTACTTATATGATGTCTTAATAAAGAAGGTACCCATAGCTCTTTGAACTAGACTGTCAAGAATTATCGCCATGTCTTTTATTTCCAACTTAAAAGACGGTACTGACGTATTAGTGGCTCTCAAATTATCTTCTTCCTGCTGAAAAAAGTCCACGGGGCGGCTATTTATGTGCAGGTGATAAGAGTATCCATCATTAACCAATACTTGAATAATTCCAGTAGGACATGAGGCCCTTTTACTTTTCCTAAAATGCCAAGGGTAAATTGGTGGTATATGTACTACGTTCGAGACATCTACAGCCCTAGTTTTTAGATACTCGCTCACTATTGGTACATTAAAACCCTCAGAAGGTCTGTCATATATCCGATTGCATGTCACTTTAAAAAACAACATTGATGTAAACACCATTTTTCGCATTTTCAGCTTGAAATGTAGATTAAACTTTATAGACATACCGGGATACAATTTATGACTGTAATCTGGAGAAACTTTGCAATAGCAGAAGTAAGTTTTATCAGTCACATTTATGTACTTTACGTGCACATACTCGTTTGAGCCATTTGTTATAGTAAATTTAATAGTCTGATCAATTAGGTGGTCGTCCATAATGCTGAGTTTAGGTGGTGTACTGAATACTGATATAGAAGGAATGCAAGTAAACCATTCTTCTTGGAATGTACTCGAGCTCATAGGTCGGGGAAAGGTAGGTGGAAAATTTAATTTAACTTTTGAATCTGCACATATCAATTTATGTTTGTTGGTAACGATAAATGCAGGTTTATGTGCTTCAGAGCTAGTAGTTTCAATTACATCTTCATTACGATTGTAAAAATATTCTTGTGTTGTACTCGGAGATACTCTACTATTTTCTGGAGGCGATATGCCGCTTTGGCAGCGACAGTCCGGGATTACTTTTGTGATCATACTTTGACTATCCTCTAATTCATATTCACCTTTTACTTTTATTAATAAATTCTCAGAAAACGATAGTTTTACTTCTTGTGAGCTTTCTTTTGCTTTCAAGTTGAGTTTTTCCCATTTCTTCTTGGTTCGAGCCAAATTATCAGTTAGTTCGAAGGGTGACGGTCTGAAGAACTCCGTGGCAAGTTTTGCGATTATGAGGTCCTTGCGTATATTAGCATTCTCCTTTCTGCGTTGATAGTCAGTAAAGACAACAAGTAATTGTTTTACAAGTTTTTCCCAATCAGATGCAGTCTTCAAGTCTTTTGCATTAGATTTATATTTCTTAGTGTGTTTAGTATATAAGGGTTCACATTTAGTTATTTTGTCCATTATCGCTGAGGATAATATTTATATGCTTTGTTTATCGAAAATTTATATATTCTCAATAAACTATAAAACCAAGGCGTTAATTCAACACAACGTTCTCGTTAAAAGTATGCATTTACGACTGTGAAAATATTTTTGTACCTATTAATAATTTTGTTGTTTACCCTTTGATAAGTTCCACAGATTAAGTCATATAGTTTTTTTTTCCATCCTCTAAGTATAGTTTAGACTTATAGAGAATGTAAACACTACGTTTAGTCTAAGAGCCGTTACACACGGTGACTTTTAACAGCGATGCAAACGCGATTCAGTCGCTAATAGTCTACCTTTACACACGCGCGCGACTTTAACCAGCGATGCAAAAGCTCGACTGCATCGATACGATCGCGCGATTACATCGCTACACTTGTGATTTATAAGCAATTGCATCGATGCATAGGCGTGTCTGCACGTTTTTACAGTCATAAATTGTATCCCGGTATGTCTGTAACGTTTAATCTATATTTCAAACTGAAAATGCGAAAAATTGTGTTTACGTCAATTGTTTTTTTCAAGGATATATGACAGACCTTCTGAGGGTTTTAATGTACCAATAGTCAGCGAGTGTCTTAAAACAAGGGATGTGGATGTCTCGAACATAGTACATATACCACCAGCTTACCCTTGGCATTTTAGGAAAAGTAAAGGAGCCTCGTGTTCTGCTGGAATTATTCAAGTGTCGGTTAATGATGGATACTCTTATCACCAGCACATAAATAGCCGCCTCGTGAATTTTTTTCAACTTGAAGAAGATAATTTAAGAGTCACTAATCAGTCAGTGTGGTCTTTGAAGTTGGAAATGACCAACATGGCGATAATACTTGCCAGTCTAGTTCAAAGAGCTATGGGGTACCTTTCGAGTTTTTAGGTTTTTGCGATTGTTACACATAGGATATTAAATCCGGAAAAATAGTTTAATTTCCTATATGGGTACCCTCTTAATGATACGTCAAACAAGATCTCATCTAAACAACATAAAATTCCTGTGTATTTACACTCAATCGAGCACATTGGTTCCCGCAATTGTTATTGCGACTTAACTTTTTACTGCTTACACGGATGAGTTTATATTTCGAAAGACTACTAGAATTTTTTGAGTGAGACATTTTACCAAGCCCCGTTGAAATTAGCCTGCCGTTGTTACAAACGCGCGATTACATCTCTACACTTGTGATTTATAAGCAATTGCATCGACGCACACGCGCGTCTGGATCGATGCAATCGCGCATTTGTATCGATGGTTTCGCGCGTTTACATCGATGCAACCGCCTGTAATCTGCAAGTGTACCGATGCAATCGCGCGTTTTAAAGTCGCCGTGTGTAACCACTCTAAGACCACAGAGTAACTTTATTATACGTATACTGAAAGTAGTCTAGAGACCTTAGAGGGTGGAAAAAAATAATGGAAATATCATTGACTTACAAATAAATGGACGACGGGTCTAATACAAAAACCACGAAAAAAATGTCCCAAGTCAACCTATTCGAAATTTAAATTGTAATGTCATCGCAGTATCGCGCTGTCAGTAGAACAAATGAAGACTGTCGCGCTCTGTATACGATTTTAGCGCCTTACAAGTGCGGACACTTTTTAGCGCGGACCCGACGTCCATATAATTGTAAGTCAATGGGAAATATGGAGACTGACGAACATTTAAGTAATTTCATTATCATCAACCCACGCATATGTCCCACTCCTGGACATGGGTCTACTCTCAGCGAGGGTTTAGGCCATAATCCGCCACGCTGGCCCAAAGCGGGTTTGGGTCTCCACACGTTTTCCGAAGGTTGTGAACCTTCTTCGAATTGCAGGTTTCATCATGATGTTTTCCTTTACCAAAAAGCTCATGATAAATTTCTAAATAAATTTTTTTGCATATAAAGTCTAACAAACTCAGGTGCGTGCCTAGATTTGAACACGCCTCTGCTTGAGAGGGCGTATGTCAAAACTTTAGTTAGGCTACCATGGCTAATTGCAAGTAGATATAATCCTTTAAAATTCTTTTTCTCCTATTTTGTTAGAACACATGGTGAGATTTCGGTGAACGTCACTAATGTTGGCATAGTTAAAAATAAATTAAATAAAATCGGCTTTATTTAACACGCAAAACAACAAACTAATTAGAAGTAATTATAGGAATTAATTACAAAAACAGTAAGAATTTAGATATCATTATCATAGGTCGGAAAAAGGTGTTCCAAATCTATAGATACATGTGTAGCATCATCAGCACCACCCGCGCGATCAGAATCATTAGCACCACCAGCACCATTAGCATTATTTATAAACATCAGCTGCATCAGCATTATTAGCGTCTTCGTCATTCTCATCATTTTAGTAGCAGTAAGACCATACGTATTTCTTTCGCCACATAGGTTTATTGTAATGAAAAGTCAGTTATATACTGCATTTTTTTGACATCAATTGCTGTAAATCCCAACTATGACTTACAATATCGTCGTCCAACATCGTTGGACAAAACTACTAAGTGAGTAATTTGTATCCGGAATTCGAAAAAGTAATGAATTAAAATTTGGTGATTTTAACAATTCTATATCACTCCTTGAGCTATATTTATACATGAATCTATGTATGTGGAACACCTTTTTCCGACCATTGATTATTATAGATAAAAAAGCTCGATTAACATAAAGAAAAAATCCTTCAATCTGACTGGACTCGAACAAGCATCTCTTGTCATATCGGGGCCACGTCTCTTATCAACTAAGCTACAGACAGAGTCAGCAAATTTTACGAATTTCTCTATGTTCTTATTACAGATCTTTGTATGGAATTTAAACGGTTTTTTTAACCTAGAGCTTCACTTGTGCGAAACTCGTGAGGTTTTTTCGAAAATATTGCTATTTTTCTTTATATTCTAAATGTGGTCGAAACTTGTGATGTGCGCCCACAAGCTCAAGTGCTTAAGGCTTAAGCTCATTATCTTTATTCTTTTATTTATTATATGATAGAGCTTTTTACACATTAAAATTTTTATTTGGTTTGTGTGGTTGCCTTATTGATGAAAACTGAGTTTCAAACTCATAGCTTTGAGAATTGACATCAAAAATAGTGGGTTTAGAACTGATCGTGAACAAAATAGTTAAATGTGGCGTCCTATACAGTTGTGCTATCAATTGTACGGGCTAATGGTACAAATAGTCCGCGGGGAAAAGCCTGATGTCCTTGCCATATTTTAGTTCTTTACGTGTAAAAAACATCAGCATTAAATGATGCTTAATGTTCTTATATACAATAATTACTTTTAAAACAATCATTGTGCTTTGACAATTTGAATCATTACGATTTGATTTGCCTATTCACTGTAATGGTTTAGAGTTGCCTCGGAGTATTACTTTCCATAAACATATTCATATTCATGTATACAAGGAGCAATTATATTGTAAAATATTGGTGTTATGTTTTTAAAAGCACTGACATAGCTACTTATTAAAATTTTTAACGTAAACTGCACGAACAAACTATCTTCATTAAAACATTTATCTTCATCTAATTTTACTACCACCGGGTCCCTATTTCTTGTGCAAAGTTTTACTACAAACTTTGTGCTTCTTTTTTGTAAAATCACCGTTTCCATAGGTACTATTTTTATTAACTTTTTCATTTTAGTACTCGTTACAATCCTTATACTGACAGGATACTTGCAATGAGTGTTCGTAATCACGAAAGAATTTCTGCATTGTCCAAATATTATCGGCGTATCTGTCATATTTAAAGCGTCTGGTTTTACTTGTATAGGGTGGGGCATAACATCGGCAAATACTCTTGTAGTTTTCTTGAATAGCAACTCGTTAGATTGAGAGTCGTAAAACTCAAAATCGTAATAGCAATTGTGACAGCCTATATGGAGTACTTGTACGAAATAAATACGTACAAATTTGGTCTCACCGGATTTTAAGGACAAATAGGTTCTGTCAAAAACAAATACATCCATTGCGCGCTCCACAATTTTAACAATTAATTGTAACACTTCATTTCGAATACTTGAATTCGAAGTAGTTGTATTGGTTATGCTTTTCGATGTTGTTATGTTAATTTCATATGATGTATTTGTTTGTAGTACACTCGGTGCTGTTGTATTAATTTTATTTGATGCATTTGTTTGCATTACACTCAGTGTTGTACTAATTTCATTTGATACGTTTGTGTTATCGGTACATCAGAGACGCGCTTTACTATGCGCACATAATAAGAATGGGTGTCTTTGGTGTCGACACTCAAGTCCAAAGTGGCAAATGGATATTCGTAAACTTTAGATTTATTCTTTACTAGCCATGGATAAATTGGTGGTATTACTATCGTTTCAGGAGCGGTTACTGATCTGTATTCAAGTTTTTTGTACGGTAGGCTCATTATCGGTACGTAGTATTTGTAGTATGAATCGGATGGCGTCATGGAGGCAGCAGGATATTTTACATTAAATTTAATTTTTGATGCAAAATTATGATCCTTAATTGGTTTAATTGTTAATTTGAAAGTATACGTTATGCCTGGGACTAATTTAACTGCAGTAATAGGTAACACTGAAATACTTTTGAGCTTAGGTATATCGATTACTGAATGATATTTAATCAATACTATGCGGTTAGCACAATTTTTGAATTTTAATTCTATAGTGAGTTCTTGCGACGAATCAATTTCAATAGTTTTTGGCGAATGCTTTATGATACTTTTATTTAATAATTGTTGAGAAATTCGTCGATATAAAGAATTTCCTGTTGTGAGCTTATAAGTTTCAGATCCAACAGGTGATATCTCACTGTTACTAGTTTGAAACGACATAGTATTCATACGAGGTAGAAATGTATCTACTTTTTCTTTCATATCATTATCATTGACATCATCAATCGTCATTTCTGGAATTATCATTTCTGGACTGATCGTTTCTGGAATGATCATTTCTGAAACTTCTTCCTCTTTAATTTCTGGATCAATACCTTTGCTAGAAAAACTTTTAATATTTTCTTGTACTATTGGATCAAGTTTAATTACGCTTCGAGTTTTTAAACGTTCCATACTTTTGGTAGAAAAACTTTTAATACTTTCTGGTACTATTGGATCAAGTTTAATTACGCTTCGTGTTTTTAAACGTTCCCATTTTCTAGCTGTTCTAGCCTTTACATCTGCTAAATAGAAAGGATTTATGTACGTAAATTCTTTTTGCAATTGTTCTAAGATGAGAGCTTTTCGAAGTTTATGGTCTTTTATTCGATGTATATAATCAATTAATGCTGCTTGAATACGAGTGATAGCACGTCTCCATTCAGGTGAAGTCATGTCAATATCGTATTGATTCTCAATTGACTTTATGAACTCTTCAATGTTAAGGTTTGGGATCGTATCGCCCCTTATTCTAAAATTATTACAGCTTACGAATTCCATCTTAATGTGATGACGAAGTTCATCACACATTAAAAAAATACTTAATGAACACAAATCTCTTCTTAAAATTAATACAAAATACACTCGTAAGTAGCCGAGAAATGAAATGTCATATTGACAAATTACACAATAAGAAAAAAATAAAAGATTCTTTCTTTTTTAATTCCCAGCCAGTAGCAAACACAGTTAGCCAGTTACATATAAATCAGAATAAAAAAATCTTTTCGTATATGAATCTCAAAATAAAATTTTAAAATTCTACAGTACTCAAGTCTCATTAACATAGAACTTTTTAATTTCGTAGTTATGGTAGAAGAAGTCAATTTAGTAGTTTTATTTGTGAGATTATATTTGGTTTTGATTTACAGATTGGCAATGGAACCCGTGCCGCGCATGTTACTCAGCATAGCCTTAGCTGCTTTACTGCCAATAGCTTCGCCGAACGTCCAGGACCGATTGGCCAAGGAAAATATACCTCATTCTAGACAGAAAAGAATTTTATGGATTACCAACGATGGACGTCTTGCTCTGCCACCAGGAACTACCATGTCAATCACGCCATCACTATCAATGCCTTTCGTAAGACACCCACCCAAAGGTTTCCTGTCTAATATGACTGTCAGTTTCCCTTTTACGAGTAAGTATTGAAGATTCGACGAATATTTCCCAAAACTCTGCCAAATTATGAAAAACAACTCAAATGAAAATCGTGGATACTCAAGATACTAAAAACATTTTACTTATTGACTACAAAAGTACTTTAAAAGTGATTCAAACCTAGACAATATTATATCTATGATCACGTAAACACCCAGCGCTGTACATTCTATAATAGGGTATCTAGAAAAAATACGTTTTTCGTACATGCTTGCATTGGGTCTGAAGCATGTAATAAATAATACTTAGTACATTTTAACGTACTTTGCGCGTTTAGCGCTTTTCCCGTTGTAGTTTGCTGGGTCTTAGGGGGTTATATATTAAGACTATTGTCAGATGTTCTAAAACAAAGTTTACTTGCAGGTGAACTGACGTACGAAGTGGAGTGCGACAGTCAGTATTTTCAGGCTTAAGAAGTGCTTAATTAGAATTTTAGCCGCAATTTAGGTTAGACTATTTTTTCTTCTATGAAAGCCTCATTGTATCAAGAATTATTATCATGTCTTCTTATCTTGGGCATCCACGGTTATGAATTGTTCATATGACACTACTTTGATTTAAACGTTCACGATTTTCACACATTATTTGATATTTAGTTAGGGACTTAATAATGTACAAAACATATTTTAATTACCTCGACGTTTCGAACGTATTGCAATGTCTCGAAGGTGTTGAGTAGGTCCCGGCTGACTGACTGACATGGTTGGTCTCACCATGGGACCTGTAAAGGGCCCGAAACGTCGGCTTGTTTGAAAAAACAAATATAGGTACTCAATTTAGATCCGACAAAATAGTTTGATATCCCATGTGTAACAATCGCGAAAACCAGCAACTCGACATGTGACTTTATGTCTGATTTTTATGCTTGATGGCTTTCAGATAAACTGAAATACGAAGTGGAGTTTAAAAGTCAGTAACTTTCAGGTTTTGTAGGATTTTATTAGAGTAGCAGTGAATGTAGAGTTGTTTATGTTGTATTTAGTTACTTGTGTATCCTTCAGTTTTGAACATTTCTGTGTATGTTAGTGATAGTGATTTACATAATAAATAACATAACTAGTTATTAGTCATAAAAAAATTATTCATATAGAAAAAATATTTTTAAAATTCGAAATATTTTTCCAACTGTCCTATATTAAATGTTATTAAATTTCCTATAAAAATTTCCATAATATTAAAGAATTTTTCAGTGACAAAATGTACTTTATTATGTAATTAATTTAATATATTTAGTTTATAATGAGTAAGCCCTCATCACTTTGCGGTGTCTTCACAGGGTGCCACAATGGTGCCACATCACTTTTTTCATTAAAAAAAAATCCAAATTTTTCACCATTTAAAAATGTAGGTACCTAACAGTAAACATACTTAATTATTTATAAATATTCAGAGATATTTTTTTGAGTGAGCCCTAAGTTTTTACAGAATTGATTGAAACCAAGAAAACCCACACTCATTAGGCAATAACTAATGCCAATATTGTTATTATTAATGAGGCTTCAATAGAAGTAGCATGCTATTTAGATTAGAGTAACCAGTGGGTCAAATCAAGGCATTATTAATAATTATATAAATTAAATATAATATTTTTTATGTTGCGAAGAAGATAAACAAAGCTGTGATAATATAACCGAAAAATTTAAATAAATTATTTATTTACTTACGTTGTAAATAGAAGTATAGTATAAAATATGGATTTCACAGTTTTTTATATTAATAAATAAACGATTGTAGAATTAAATTGTGTATTGAATGCAATTGTGAATAATGATATTCGTAGTTGTAGTATTTTTAATTTTTGTAGTCAGATTAATTTTCAAAACGTTCAAAATTTATGTAGAGAAACTGTAAAGTTTAAAGTAGAAAAACTGTAGAAACCCGATAAAATTAATAACAGTAGAATTAAAAACTTAAAAACTAGTTGTGTTGTTAATAAATAATAAAAGTTATTTTGTGTAAGTTAAATTTTTATCACAGCATTAATGATCCGCAGTTGACTTCGATAAGCTTGGTTTGACGGATAATGAAAACCCCTATGGAGAATTGCCGCCTATATTTAGCCGGTCTATGGGAAGAGCTGCAGCTTCTATCATGGCTGACTATGTGGGACAGTATCTGGATAGGCGGAGAGGAAAGAGGTCGCAAAGAGGAATACCCCCTGAAATAGAAGAGCTCGTAATGAACAAATTGCATGGAGGTGAAAGGTACGTTCATGCTGTTAAATACTTTGTAAGTCGCCGTGATAAGGAACACTAAAAACTTAAATCAAAATTCGAAACAATCACAGACAACCTACATAGTAAAACGGTTTTCCAACACTGTCGCCGGTTGCTGCAACCGCAATTTGTATCAAAATAGAATATTATTCGCTTCTAGTTGCCACTTGCATGTATCCAACACAAAAGACACGTTTATGCGGTGCCTAAATCAAGGACTTACGATTGTGGTGAAGAATAAATGGACGTAACTTCGAGTAATAAAATTACTCAGTTTATTGAGGACCTAGATTTTAAATAGGCATTAAGGTTAGAAGGATATGTCAGAATGTCAGTAAATTGAGTTCATAAATCTTTCTAGAATATTTCTGTCGCATTGTTTAACAGCACATAATGGTCAGTGCTGCTAAACAAACTGCTACCAAAGAGTTTACCATCAAGATGATGACCGAACAGCCTACTTTGAGACTGAAACAATAACCAATATATTTGACCATACGAGTGACTTCTCTAACTGGGACATGCATAAAGTATCAACCAATGACTACAGGACAGTTGTCGCGTTCTTCGTACGTGTCTAAATGGTTCGCATGAATGCAGCTAGTATCAGTAGGTACTCATAAGTAATTGGGTATAACTTTCACCTTCGCTATAAGGAAACATATTTGATTATGTTGTGAACAGTCTGTGAATGGTACTTGAAGGAAAGACGACAACGTCGGTCAAAATCTGGGATTTGAATTTTTAGTTGCAGAAATGTAAATTGACTGCAGTTTGAACCACGGCCGCTCACAGTCCAAATGTTGAGCATGTTACGCTTAAAATGAAACCCAAACTAATGTTATAAATGCGAAAGTTACTCTGTCTGTTACGTTTTCACGCCTAAACCACTTAACCAATTTTGGTGAATTTTAGTATAGAGGTAAATGGGGCCTAGGAGAAGGACATGGGCTACTTTTTGTCACAAATTTTGGTCGGTTCAACGGTTTTGGTCATAGTTTCCTAAACTTATGTAGTTAGTACTGGATTGTAGTTGTAGTTCTGTAATCGAATGATATAATTTAGTTTATGATAATCTTGTTTTGTATTTGTAACCGATTGAAGCAATGGTATAAGCGGTTTCAACATTTTGGGTCAATTTAAGTGCTTATCCATTTCGTTAAAATAATGAAATGAACCCAAAATATAATTATGTGTAATGTTTGCTAGGTAATGCCTCTAGGGGCGTATAGATAGTATTTTAATGTTTATTTTTTGTAATATTAAATGACGGGACTAACGAGTCGTGCGCCTGATTGTAAGCTACACGCCTGGCCATAACAGTTGCAGTGCCACTCAGAGCTTTAAATCGCAAAGATCTGAGGGGCACTGCCACTCCGCCCGTCACCCTAAGGCATAAGTCGACAAGTCCCATGGGCCTGTAATTTCACCAGCACTCTTACCCTTCAAAAACTGGAACGCAGTAATGCTAACATTACTGCTTGGCGGCAGAAATAGGTAAGGTGGCAGTACTTCCCTGGACGAACTCTTTCACAACGAGCTACTGCTGTTTAAATCAGGTTTGGCAGCATTGGTTTTTATTTTAATAGAGTAGCAAGAATATAGAACTGAGTAGCTGTAGCCCTGAAACTTTGCTTTTAGCGCTGTCACAATGGTATTTACATAGGCGCCTATTTACATAGTGGTATTCGAAATGTGGTGCTATCGTAGAATTGGACGGTCAAAGTCAAGAATGTCGAGGTCTTTAAACGTATAGTGAAGAAGGTGGAGTTGGTACGCAAGCTGCGGAAGGTTACCTATTTGGGTCATGTACTGCGACATGACAAATATCAATTATTGCACACTATAATGACGGGCAAAGTAGCTGGGAAGCGGAAGGTTGGAAGAAGGAAAATATCATGGCTTCGTAACATCAGGGAGTGGACCGGCATCAAGACCGTGGAACAACTGTTCAGGCTAGCTCTGGACAAACAAAGATATAGAAAACTGACTGCCGATCTTCAATAATGGAGAGGCACTTGAAGAAGAAGATAGTAGTATTTACATAATATCGCAAATGTACAAGATTTTTATAGGTTCTTTGTTATAAATTTGTAAATTTTTGGTTGAAATACTATTGATTTGATTTGACATGTGTTGTTGTTGAAATGTTCCCTTTTTGTTTTTAAATAAATAAGTCAAACCCGAAAATTTGTACGTTTCCTTCATGGTACGCAAATTTTAACATTTCGTTGTCCTGACCAGAAAAGCAAAGTTCATGCAGGGAAATAAAGTTTTTTTCATATTTTTATGTTACAACCAATTAGAAAATGACATTGATAATCTAAAAACAAAATTCTTGTTATATGGTGATTATATATCGCTTGACTTTCTATATCATTTCAGGGCTCTTCTATACGGGATGGTGGAGGATTTATTTGAGAGCATAGGCATGTCTGGCAGAGAATGTTTGCTCAGAACTATATGCGAAATCCATGCACATCCACTTCACAACTTCGGATTCTTTGGTGAAGTGATGAAATTATTCTTTTCGTAAGTTTCTTAATACTGATTGTGACTTAAAATTTTTATTCTTTATTACGAGCTGATTAATCTTTGAAATCAAAACAAATTTTCGCCATATTTTACTTGACTTAGATTTTTAAATAATTGTATAGTAAAATCATAAAAGTTGTGTTTTGTTTATATTTTTTGCCGGATAAAGTACAATTAGTGATGTAAAGATGAATTTTGTAGTGACTTCAATTATTACCAAGTTATTTGTGTATTTTAGGATGCTAGCTCAGATTTGAGTTCTTATTACTTCAAAAAAGAAAGTCGATTTACTACATTATAATGTTTGTAATATTGTAATGTTTCTATTACTTTTTAATTTAGCCCGAGTAAGTCGCCATTCTCGAGTCTACTCCAAGAGTATGTGGAAGCGCAGAAAGCGGGCGAGACAGGCGGGGAATGCTGGCCCTATTATAGACTCTGCCCAAAAAGCATATTTATGCCATCTTCCAATAAGTACTCGTAAGTTAAACTTATTTAAAATAATGTATGTCATGGACTGTACATCTAAATCCATCTGTACAGGATCAAGAGCACGTCAACCTCAAAAGATTTAAATTGAGCACTATGTCGCTTGCAATAGAATTATCATCTCAATCTCATTAAAAGAAACATTATAAGGTCGACCAACCTGGGATCTACGGTTTTTTCGGGCTGGGCCAAACAAAATTACATCTTCGCTTTATCTCAGTTCCATCAGCATTTAAGATTTTAAAAATGTATAAAAAAATTGATACTTTCTTGCAATTTACAATAATTGTACTAAAATCCGCTCGTATGAGAGGAGAAACGTGCCCAGCAGTGGGATGTATAAACGGGTTGATGATGATAACTAAAATCGACGGGTATTCCGGTTTATTCTTAAATTCGACTTTAGGTTGCGTTCAACAGATGCCCAAGATACTCGGCCCCCTAACCGACCTTTTGGTTTTGAGAGCTTTTTTACGCATTCAACAGAAAAGTGTAAAGGAATTCCAGCTTTTTGGTTGTAATTTGTATTTACGTAATGTAATTAAAGATCAAAATGGCTTATAAAGTTTCTTAAAACGTCATTCAGTAATGGTGGTCTAAGGAAGTCATACCAAAGAGAATTTTACGGCTCACAGGTTAAAGGTTAAGTTCGTTAAACACCTTTCTTCACACAGAACCAAATAGACGGTTATAGGGTCAGGTACCTATCTTAGGGCATCGATTATACATAACATTCAACTTTGCTGTTTAATAACAGTGAAACAAGAATTGAAAAAAGCTCAGTAATTTTTAAATTCTTTCACAGAAAAGAAGCGGAAGACCTACACAGACTACGAGACGAACAAGAAAGTGTTGATATCAATAAAATAGATAATTTAGGACATAAAGCAATGTAGTTAGCACATCTATTGAGTCAAAGTTATGTTTAATTTAAGATAGTGTTGTCAGATTCCCTATTCTTGAGGAAAATCCCAAACAGCGTTTAACCTGAATGTTAAACTATTCTGTTGGATATTTTTAATAACCGTTCAATTTCAGTTGACAGAGCCATACGGTACGCCACACTGTGGACGCAGGTTCAAGTCCTGTCGGGTTCAAGGAATTTTTCTTTGTGTTCGATTTTTAATCGATAATTATAACAAGCTAGTGGTTATTTCACAAATAATTAATGAATATCACGGTGGTTAAACATCGTGAAATTCAATAAAATCAATAACATTTAAATATTTTTCCTACTTCAGCATTGTTAGATATTTTTTACTGAATAAAAACCTATGCTCGAGGATTTTTTGCAACAGGACTCTGGCAATACTATTTTGATGTGGGCTTTATTAATACATACTAAAACCTATACGAGTTCACACGCCACAGTGCGAGTCAGTAATATTCCAAATTTAGAGTAGCGTCCGACCAAAGTTTTTATTATGTATACCTTTTTTAAAATATTTATTTTTTAATTATTAAGTGCCATCTTGTAATACTTACGTCAACGAGACTTCATTATTATGGGCAATTATTACAATAAGTTAATTTCGCAATACAACAATTAAGTGGTGTAACCATGGTGTAACCCACATTAATTTTGTTTCTACAATATTAGTTTAAATGCAATTTTCTCGTATAAAAAATATTTAATTATTTTTTTACACATGACAATAGCATCCAAATATAAAATAATTATGTTCTTTAGTATCATTTAAAGTAAATAATGTAGATTAAAATTGAATGTAGGTTTCACACCACTATTGCGCTGATCAGTTATTGACAATAACTTTGATAATTAACGTTTTAATCTTCATAATTGGATTTCAGTAGCAAAAATGTATACTCGTAGGTTTATATTGAAAAACAACTTCCTATTGATGCTACTGAAACTGTACTCAAGTTCTTGTATAGTTGAAGCCATGTCTTATACATAGTTTACAGTTTCTATTCCCAGTTAATCGTCTTACCTACTCATAATTAGTTTTGTTTTTAAATTATTTATAAGTGTTTATGTTTATTTTTACTGTTATTGTCTAGTTTTTAGAAAGCTACCTACATAGCTAGTGATTTCGAATTTTTTTCTTAGGAAATAAATTGTTTTCTAAATAACATTTTTTTTTATTAACAGCGGTTTAAATTTAAAAGAAACGAAACTATTTCCATTGAGGCAATAATCAATCGTACCATTGCTAACATTAGGTAGCGAAGACTGTTATTTATTTTAATTTTTCCAAAATATGTCAATAGGCATTAAAACACTTTTGAGATGCACTTGTTCAATAGGTATTTAACAATTTTTACTACATAGGACCCTTAAAGGCATAAGTGACGAAAATAGGAACTATTTGACAGTTCATGAAGTAATACCACTCCCGCACCCCGACCCTCTTTTCCCATCCTGCGTGACCCCGTGTAGAGAAACCAATTTAGTATTGCACAAGCACTAACTCACTAGCACAGTCAATAGCGTCTCTATCGTTTATATAATACTCGTGAAGAACCGTTTGGCCTCATTTATTCAACTGCAAATATAACTTGGTTGAATCGAAAGCCTCCGACAGGGGGCGTGGGACGAAAAGACTGATAGACGAAGGGAATATATTGTTTTATCGTATCAAAACTCTGCTATGATTAAGGTAAAGAGCAAAAATCGAAGTGTTTTTCTGATGTTACTGTGTTTGCGTCAAGGATATAGTGTTAGTGTGAGAAACAAGGATTGTAATGGAATTTTGTGTTTCAGCCGCAATATGTAACGTTGGCATGTATAATTATATTGAGTGCGGTTTCCACCGCCTCTATAACAAAAAGGAGTTACTCGGATCAGTCTATAAGAGAGTATATAACAGAGGTAACTAATTTAATTTTTTAAATTAATTCCATGACCGATATCATTACCTTCAAACACATTGTACAATGACACTTAAAACCTCTGCATAAATCTTATTTTAGAGAACATGCTGGTGGAATGAAATATGCAAGGAGGAATTTCAAACTTTGTTCAGATGTAAATGTCCATCATGGTCATTTTGCCGGAGTCCAGGACGTTACTACAACGCGGTGTGTTCCATGACCGAGACTGGATACATTTGGGATCAGCCCACATCCGAATTTAGGCCACCCGGCCAGTAACACCAAAGTATGAAAAAAACAAATGAAGATCATTCTTTAAGATGCACTTCGTTATTTAACTCATCTATTATTTCACTTGTTTGGAATCGTGTAAATAATTTAAAGCACGTGCGGAAAAATTCTAACAACGATTTCCATTTGAGACTGATTTAGAAATTGAAATAAAATTTCGTCTTCTATTTTCTATAATATTTAGCTTAAGATAGCTTTGTCTTGTTTCCTCACTCCTGTACAATGTTTCACAGTATGTTTGTCTTGACCAATTTAGTTTTCATATCATGAAAATAAATGTGTTTATTTAGTAATGGTTTTATTTGATATAGTATTGGTAAAATGTTGACCTTGAATGGGAATAATTGATGGCTCTCGAATAAATCGAAGCCTCGCTGAACCGCGCATGCGTCATGATATGCCAGAAATTGGAATCAATACCGAGGATACGGCAATCGGGATCAAACAGTCAGAATACAACAAAATCGCCAAAATGTTGCCGATTTTAATTTACCTTGTCGCTTTGTCAGGAGTAAATTGTGAACCAGAAACAGTGAGGGATAATTTCGATTACTTCAGCTATGGAAACAGTGACGATTTACTCAAGAGTTTGGATTTGCATATGGTGCGTACTAGGACCTACGCCATGACCATTACTTTGACATTTCGATAATACTTACGTTCTGAGTATAATTTTCAGCCAAAAGATGAAATAGTACTCCGACCTCAAGAGGTGAAGGATTGGCCTCAGCAATCCCTAAATGTTGGTCAAATAACTGCAGTATCTATCAATTCCTTGGGGCAGCCAGTTATTTTCCATCGAGCCGAAAGGATTTGGGACGAGAAGTAAGTTGCAGTTAATGCATAAAAATTAAAATTAATTTTTACGAAATTTTAATTATTTCATATGAGTTTTGTTTCAGCACTTTCAATGAATCCAACGCCTACCAGAATCTTGAAAAAGGACCAATAATTGAAGATACCATATTAGTATTGGATCCTCATACGGGCTCAGTTCTTCACAGTTGGGGAGCATATGCTTTCTACATGCCACACGGTCTTACGGTGGATCATCATGACAATGTTTGGGTCACTGACGTGGCAAAACATCAAGTATTCAAGGTAACTAACTTGTTTTTCTTGCAAACTACCAAACTAAAAAACAATTGCTATATAATAACAAAAATACTTTATGGTATTGTCTCAAAACTGTAATATGACTATGTAAAACGAAATCGTCGGTTAAAAGGTAAAACTCACTAATAGCCTAATTGGCCAAAGGGAGATAATTAAGATTTTGTATTTTTTCATTATGAAAAATCACTAAAGGACTGGTATGTATTAAAACATGAAGGACACCACAGACTTACTGAATTTTTCTTGTCATAGATGTTCTTCCCAATAAAGCAAAATTGAAAAAATCTAGTTTTTGAACAAAATGTCACTTAATGAGTTTTACCTTTTAACCGACGAAATATGAAACATTACATGAGTAGGCATAGTATAGGAAATTAGATTTAATTGAATTTTTGTTTAGTTGCACTATACTATCGACATTTCAACTTTCCTAACTGCCCTTTCGTAGGTCGAACGGTTACCATGCCAGACTGCCACACAGGTCCCAGGTTCGATTCCCGGGCCGGGAGAAATATTTGTATGGCCTAAATTTATTTTTCTCGTGAGTTTGGGTGTACTTTGTGGTTGTCTATGTGTCCATGGCACCCGGGACACAAGGTTTCCCTAGTGCGGGGCTATGTTGAGTGTGTGCGTTATTATTATATTATTATTATTTCTACATCTAAAAATTCCGATTACAGTACACTCCAACCAACCACAAGTACCCAAGCTTAACAATCGGGGAAGCGTTTACAGCTGGATATCCTTACAGACGTAGAGTCTTACTCTGTATGCCCACGTCGGTTGCTATTGCCACTACTGGAGAGATTTTCGTCGCAGATGGCTATTGTAATAATCAGATCCTCAAATTTAATGCAGCAGGTACCTTGCTGATGGCTATTCCTTCGTACAGCGACACCTTAACTCTGAATTTGCCTCACTCTGTGACTTTGCTAGAACATTTGGATAATGTATGTGTCGCTGATAGAGAAAACATGAGGATTGTATGCGCCAAAGCTGGTCTTAAGAGCTATGTGAAGATGCTAGAGCCAGCTACCGTTATCGAAGATCCGACTTTAGGGCGAGTATTTGCTGTGGCTTCTCACGGAGACACGATTTACGCTGTAAATGGTCCGACGTCCCAGAATATTGCAGTCAGAGGTTTTACGGTCAACGCTTTGTATGGAAATATTGTAGACACGTGGGAGCCAAGCACTGTGAGTATTATTAAGTATTATTGTTAAAGATGTTAGTGATATAATCCGTACTTTAAATGCACAAAGACTTTTAAGTTGTAGTAGTTACGCGCTACTGTAGATATGAAATTTAAGTTAGGAAACTTAATCTACATGTCAGAAGTATTTTTTTAAATTCTTGTTATATCTTACAATGAATTTTTTGTTTGTGTGAATTTTTTTCCCACCTTTACAATATAGTATCTATGTTGCTTTATTTAAGAGCAGATGTAGGCAAAAGCAGTAGCAATCTCGGTCAACACCAACAGCAAAATAAAATCTGTGTCGAAAATTTTTAAACAGAACTAAGGTTAATAAGCTGATCCTTGCATTTACAGGGCTTTACCAACCCGCATTCTCTGGCAGTGACAAGGAACGGTTCTCATCTCTATGTCACCGAGATTGGACCCAACAAAATCTGGAAATTCGAGCTAACCGACGTATACGACAAGAAATAGATTCAATTAGCACTTACACCTTAAGCTGATATTAATATCTGCAGTAAAACCACGATGATACTCAAGTTAATTAATTATTTAGACCACTAGATAATGTTCAAGTGTTCTAAATACACTGTGTTTAGTTTAAAACCAATAATATTTAGTCTATCTTTTTCTATATTGTTGGCCTAATTTAGGTTGGAAAATTATGGCTCTCTTGTAAAATTACATCTGCCTATTTCGTTGAGGAATTAATTATAATTAATAATATTGACATACCTTCACGATTGTATTCCAAAGCCGTAAAGTAGCGCTCTTCAGCACCAACAACATTTTGAATCATTACCATCCATGGTGAATGGTTGTTAATCAAGGTTTTATTGTAGGTACTTAAATCAATTAGTTGAAACCTTTATTGCGAATCAAATTCGCCGATCAATTATATGATAGAAAAGAACAGTGCAAGTTTAAAACAAATGCGTGCGAGCGCAATAAATTCTTCATCATCGTATCGAACACACTTTGTAATGAGACCACTTGTTTTAATCATTTAGGTCACTGGTTTCCCTGCATTCAGAATACTGAGATACAACAGTTAATCAAATCATAGACGTAGGAATTACAGAGATAATTGGAGATGGGCAGGTCACTTGACAAGATGTCAAGAAGGGAGACGGACAAGAATTGATACCGAGTTTCAGCCAAGATTAGAGAAAAGGGTTTGAACAAACCGCTTGGTACCTACAGTTTATGTCAGCAAGGGCTCAAAAGGGAATGGTTTGTAAAAGAATCAGCAATGGATGATTGTGAGCTAGAATAGAAGGACTATCACAACGTGACACCCATTATCATAAAGTCCACTTGTCGTTTGTCATATCCTTGATTAGTAGAACTCCCAGTTTTCAATGAGCTCTGTTTGACTTCTCTGTAAAATTACTTTAACAGTAGGGGACTTAGTTTTAAGAAATTGTATAAATATTAAATGAAAATATTTAATGGTTCCTGCCGTAAGCTTTTTAATCCATAGGGCTTGATTGAGTAAGGGTACTGAAGGGTGGAATTTTAAGGCTTCTGATAGACGATGTGGGTGCGAAAAACGTACGGTTTTAAAAGCGAATAGTGAGATATAGCAGAAAGCGATATGTAGGTCTTATTTACCGGAGAAACCGTTATACGGCAAAAAAAGGAATTTATGTGTACAAATTACTCAATCACAACAAGATCCACATGTAATACAATAAAAAAGACAATACAAATTAATAATAAAAGAAACATGTCTAATAGATCCTTTGCTCGGTTACTGAGGACCAGGGTTCGAAATTATCTAGATATTTATATTCTATGATATTTATCATGACAATTCTGCCGTCCACTAACTAAAACGCAATTATGTGACAAATGGTGAAATATGCGTTTTAATTAGTAAAAAATAAAGCACAAAATTCTCTTTTAAATAGAGGTAAATTTAGTTAGAGTGTAGCATAGCTGAAATATCATTAAACAATTTCAATGTACTAAAACTGGGTTATGGTTTTTTACGATATCTCAAAAAATATTACGTTACTTAGCCGCGTTTTAGTTAGAGGACGGCAGAATTATACAATATATATCGGATAGCTATCGGATCTTCGCTGAATCTTAATTTTTAACCGACTTCAAAAATGGGAGGAGGTTCTCAATTCGACTGTTGTTTTAGTATGTATGTTACGCGATAACTCTGGCATTTGTGAATTTGTGTGGCGATTTTAATGACTCTTTTTTTGTTGGAAAGAGGTTACCTCAGTAGTGGTCCCATTTCAATTTCAAGAAAATATTCCACCTCTAAAGGTAGCGAAGTAGGGGATAAATCCGGTTTCGCGCACTTTCCGGTAACCAATTTCAATAAAACTTCGCAAATAGATGTAATTCCAGGAACTTTTGAGGTCGGTTTTTTTAGTACTCTGTACTGAGATTATGTCTCTTTAATTTTTTACTAAAAATGACAAACAGTGGGGAAACTTAAATAAACACGAAGAAAATTTTTGGGAGAATAATTTACTTTGTGATTTTTTTTCTGAGATTGACGTTTGAATATGTTTCGGATACAAAAACATGCACGACATTGCTAGCATTTCCTTCCAGTTAATTTTGTAAATATCAAAATAGTTACCATGTAAATTATCATGATAATTATTATTACTTCGAACCCTGCTGAGGACTACGGAGATCATTGTCTATTTAGCATACTACAAACACCCGTGTCAAATATTGGAAGCCATTTAGAACTATGGTCCAAATATAAACACGCACAGATATCTGAATACTTTACTTCACTTAAGTGTAATTTTGCTATAAAAGAGATAACAAATAAGTACATAATTTAAAAATGCTATTTTCTTATAATCCGTAGAAGTTTCATGCCTTGGTAGATAATTATTCGCACCCCCCATGGAAGAATGCCATGAGTGGAGTTACGACAAATATGTTTATTGGAGAGGATGTGGGTAATCCACATCCTCTCCAGTTCTTGTAACTCTGACTTATATTGTAGAGAGTTACAAGAATTGGAGAGGATGTGGGTTATATTTTTCTGTATCTAATGGATCAATAAATATTTTTGACGTAACTCCACTTGTGCCATTCTTCCATGAAGGATGCGATGTGTACGTAGCTGTTTATAAAATTTTGCCTTAGGCATTTTTAAAGGTAAAATTTCATCGAACTAGAATGTTTTACCTACTTAAAAGTAATAGGAAAAAAATTTTTCTGAGTGTTCGATCTTTGTATTAATAATTATAGCAAACTAGTGGAGTAATTTCACAAAAATAATTGAATATGAGTTCAATAAAAATTTAAAGTAATAGGAAAACTTTATGAAAATCGAAACAAAAAACTAGACACGGATACTGGACCTACTTATCGTAACTAACGTAATCGACATTTTTAACGAAAGTGAGTTATTAACATATGTGGAAACTGCGAAACGAGATCTACAACCCCCGATAAGAGGTTTTTCTTATATATCTTATTTAGTTTCAGTTTTATTGATAAGCAAAATCAGCGTAGATGACATTTTTCAAAGAAAAAATAACGTTAGGTGCTAATATCTCGAATCTTACCAAAATGCAAATGCGTTAGTTATGATAAGGACGGCAGGATAGTTACACAGACGACGGTTTATATTACAACAGGTACATACGTACTTAAAATATTTTGGTAAAATAAATACATAGAGAACACTTAACCAAGATAAAAAGGACCAAATTAAAAAGGATTTGGTACGAAAGAACTATATCTAGACGATTCTGGAATGTATCGGTAGACAGTTACGTTGAGATTAGTAATTAAAATAGGTAAATAAATAAATGAAATAAGAAAATTGTTTAATTTTCCAACCAAGTAATTATACAGGTTTTAATACTTTATTTATTGATCATTATTAAACATGTCAGCCCCATTAGAAAAACAATGCATCATGAACACACTTACTAAAATCCAAACAGATAAATCAAAATACTACCTAACCAAACATGTACAAACCAACAGTAAGGCGCCGCGCAAACGTATGTCTTGTGTTGGATACAAGCAACCGGCAACTAGAAGCGAATATTGTATTTTCATACAATTAATATGAAATCGGCACAGTCGCCGGTTACGGCAACCGAACACAGTCGCCGGTTGCTTGTATTCAACACAAGACACGTTTACGCGGCGCCTAAATGTACGGAAACCAACCTGTTCAAATAACCGTACCTTGAGAGCCTATGCACACGGCGTATTTTATACACGCCGATGACGTGTGTTTCACGAACGCGCGTTTTCGGCGCTGTAAAAGGGGGGCCTTTGCGCTTATACGCGCCGTAGACGCGCTGTTGTGAATATATTGAAAAACGCGCACACATCGCGTTGCAAGCAAGAAGTTTATATACTCCACTGTTTACACTTAGAATTTCATGTAGTTGCTTTATTTCAAAAAGAAACCGAAATTAACAAATAAAACTAAAATTAAAAGTATCTTTTATCAAAATGTGCATACATACACGCGACTACAGCACGTCTGCGGCGCGTTTACGGCGCGTATAAAATACGCCGTGTGTATGGGTTCTGATAGGTTCCGTCCGAATACACTCCATGAGCAAATGTTGTCCTATCTTTTATCAAATCCTCAGGAATTCCACACAAATACTTTTATTTATAAAATATTTACAATAATAGTTACATTCAAGAATATACACTAACTATGGTAAGTACTCAATATTTTTATAGCGACAAATAGGTATTAAAAGTATACATTATTTTTACTGCGTAGTATACATATAATAAACATTATTTATTATGCTGTAGATATGAAGCTAAATAATTTATGTCATGTGCACCTACTTGTTAAATTATTCACTTACTCTTTTTCGCGACTTTCATGAACAAGACCATATCTGAAACAAAATATTTAAATCTTAGAACGTACAAACTTATATACAATCGGTACTGTGATATAATAAGTTGTAATCAAAGTATAAATGAAAAACATTTAAAAAAATAAACATCAAATATGAATCAATTGTGTATTGGCCATGTTTATGTGTCTTCCAGCTAAATATAAAATTCTCCTTCCACAAAATTTCCTGTCTTTACTTATACAATACAGCTCTAAGTGTCGTTTGATAAGCTTTTTCTTATGAAAATTGTGTCCATAAAAATAATTTTGAAAAGACTCAGAAGGGGCTGTTTCGGGCGAATATGGTGGATGAATCGAACTGCTAATGTAGTTAGATTGGAATATGTTATTTGCTGGCTTTCTAAGTACCTACGTGTGGCACTATCATGATGAAATACCACTCATGAATTATAAACATAAAGGTTCCCGCCTATTTTTAAAAATGATAAAATATGATTTTGATTATTTATTTATTGGACATTGGCTATAGACCCATTATTAGCTTAAACAAATAATTAAGAAGCTCAAAACATTACTAAAAACTATCTTTTTAATTTGCGCAAAAACTGTAACTACAAAAACCCACCATTTTTTCCTATTATTTTGACATACAAAATGACCATAGAGAATATAATTTTTAAAAGAAAAAAGTTATCTTTTGTTTAAAGTTAGCTCGCGACATAAACCGCACGGAGTTTTTGGCCAACCTATCACATTACAAGATATGCAACTGAAATCGTTTAGATGAATATCAAAAAACTTAAAACAAAGGTTTTTTTCTCAAAATGGCTAAAATTTTCTCGGATATGTCTATCAATGATTGAGTCGTCGTTCTGAAAGAAAGTTGAAATTGTTTCCTCTATTTCCACTAGTTTAGTTGTCCGTCCTCTCTTTTCACTGGTCTGCTGTCCAGTCCAGTTAGTTGATTGAACTATAAAGAATTTCTATCTTGTTTGCACAGTTGAAAATAAAACAAGCTTTTTTTGCTGGACCCGGTCTCAATTTTTTTTTTTTAAGATGGTTTATAAGGATATTCTGTCCTTGTCTAGCACGTCAGTTACCAGCAGATTAGTTTGTGGTCAAATTGCTTCCTTACAACTATAAAAAACGTAGGTCTTGCTATTAAATTAAATTAATTGAAATTGTTATTTATTATTATAAGGTGAAATGGTGTTGCATAACACAATAAATGTTATGTGGCCTATCTATTATAATAGATTACTCACTAATAAAGATGATCATGACGAGAGCCAAGACTATCCAGAGCCACCACTTCCACGCGCCGCGACTGTGAACTGCAAGCCGCTCCGACTCCGCTTGTAGTGAAGATACATTCGTATCTGTCAACTCTGACGACTTTTTTAGGGCCTAGTAAAAGAAAAAAATGCATGGTTTTCAGATCCACTGATATTCAGTTGAAATGACGAATTTGTATTTTAATCTTCAACCTACATACCCATAAGGTTTAATACTAAGTTTAGGAGTTGCAGGTATAATGTCAGGGGATTTAATTCCGTCTTATATACATACATGCATATGTGTAGGAATAAAAGTGGTATAATAAGAACAGACAAAACATCACTTCCAATGAGGCACTGATGATTTTTCATTGATATCAATAATTGCCAATTTTTTTTTAAATAGGCAATGATGTTATCGCTATTATATACATATATATAAATGCACTGAATACTGGTGAAAATGTGGCATTTACTATGGTATCTTTCTCTCAATGTCTGTGTTATATGAACCCTCCAGCCTACATGGCTTACTTTAAAATTTCGTAAACGTCTTACCTCAGTATCTCCTTTAATAATAGTGCTAGCAATCTGTGATTGTTCTTTCAGGCTTTTAGTCAACATGACCATATTTTCAGCAACTTTTTCTTGCATGTTTTGGTGGTACTTGAGAAGCGTATCAATGTCTTCCTGGCTTGTACTGTTGCTGGTAAAGTTTGGAGCTTTAATTATGTTGCGTTTTCGTAGTGTGTCATCGCTGTCGTCTGTTAAGATACTTTAAAGTAATTAGTAAAGCAGCTGGTGTATCATAAAGCTGTAGTCATAATTTGGGCTATGAAAATTTTTCTAAACATATCAGTCATCAGTAAAGAATAAAAATTTATAAAATTGATTCTAATAAAATTTTAGTGTATGGCCAAAGTTGTTCAGTCTCATGGATGCTTTAATAACTGATAATATACGTCATGTAAAAAACTTTTAACTCTGTTCTCTACTTATATTACCCATGAAATCACATATTGTCCTAACACAAAGATGATAGAATTGAGAAAACAACCATTTGAAACTACAAAAAATTACTGAATGGACTCAATAAATGTATATTCTCATTTATAAGTGGATAAATCAATGTTATGTACAAATAAAAATAATCCTATTATTCGTAATAAGATCCATTCAATAATGTTTTTGAACTCATATTTTCTCATTATTCAAATCATATTTTCTCAATTCTACCATTTTTGAGTTATGATAGGGTTTGATTTCATGTATTTTATATCTAGAAGCGAGTTCTTTGTAATATTAAATTATTATCCAAGCATTTTTTTTTTGCAACATATATCTACATCTTAGGGACAACAATTATTGAGGTGGACAATTTTGGGAAAAAAGAAAAGGGGCCCCACAAATTTACAATGTTTAGGGCATCTTTGACAGCCTCCGTGGCCGAAAGGTTACCACGCCGGACTGCCATGCAGAGGTCCTGGGTTCGATTCCCAGGCCGGAGATATATGTGTATGGCCTACATTTATTTATCTCGTGAGTTTGGGTGTAATTTGTGGTTGTCTATGTGTGTGTCCATGGCACCCGCAACACAGGGTTTCCCTAGTGCAGGGCTATTTTGAGTGTGTGCATTATTATTATTATTTTAAGTACAACTCAGCACCGGCTATAATAGCAGACACAAAAGTGAAAAATCTATTTATCTGCACTTACATTTGAACTAATCTGAAAAGCTAGTTTTTATTTGAAATTTATACCTAATCCAAATAGTTCAGATCGTAGCTCTGTTCCATATTTAGCAACGGTCTTTTGATGTATTTCTTGGGCTGGTGTGTCCGCACAGGCTGTTCCATGAGGCAGCAGTTGAACAGCTTCTAACTAAATGAAGAAATTAAATATAAATGGCACTTAGCCACACATTAAGGCATACAAATTGTCTCTTTTTCAAACTAATGTAAGTAAGTCATGCAAATTTGACAGTTTCTTAAATCAATAACAGTAATTAACATTATGCTAAATTGATTTTTGTTCATTGTGCAATTTCAAGAACTATTCAGCTAATTTAAATTAAATTCAAAATTAATAAAATAATACAAAAAGTAATGTTTTTAATCATGTAATATTATTCTACAATCTATGATGAATAACTTGTGACAAATAAAATTATTAATACATGTATGCAAGTCCTTTTATAAACTCTGTTGAAAACTTGCAACTTTTAAGTTGGTGTTGTGTTCGTTGCTGGTGTCAAAATGTCAGCAGTGGATTACCATAACATTCAAATTAATGTTAATTTACTTGTAATATACTTTTGCTTGCTATGCGTCTCATATATTGATGAAAATAGTAACTTTTTAACTACTTATAACCTTGATTAGTATATCTTTCAATTACCTTTTCAATTGGATTGTTCAATGTTGCAGACTGTACCAAGCCCTTTAGGAAATTGATTCTTTTTGTGTAATCTGCCATTACGTCTTTTGCAGGCTTACTGTAAAATTAAGATATAATTCATTATTGGTGAATTTGTTTCTTCCGAAAGGTTCATTGTGCTCTAAAGCAAAAAAAGGATGTTTCGGGTGTGTAACTTACTCAGGGTCAGTTTTAAGTTCAGCGTTCATCTTGACCAACGATTCTACATACTGTTTTAACCTCCAGTTGCTATCCACGGGCTCTTGTTTAGCAATATATTCACACTTTTTGAGTAGTTGCCTTACATTCATTTCATTACGAGATTTCTTTGGCATGGTATGCATTGGCCTCATGGGCGCGTTTTGAGTAACTTTTAGCTTTTCCGTCATAGTCATTTTGCTGTTGTTTTCTTTTATACTTTACAATTAGTTGAGAAAATGTTTAAAATCTTACACAGTCCTTCTTCGACTAACAAATAAACAACACGTCAATCGATAACATGATTAGTGATGTTACGTTACTTGCTTGCAAATCCGTTGATAACGATTGAACGATAGAGCTATATTTTTATTTACAAGGTATAAGTCTTAGAATAATAACGCATAGAAACCTAGCCCGCACACGCTAAGTGAGGCAAGTTAATGGCTTCCCAACGGGCTCCCAGGAGCGCGCGGGCTGTTAGTGCTCAAGGTCAAATTGCACCGCGAACAGCTCCAAAATTTTTTGCTAAAAATGACGAAATGTGCGGTAAATGGGTGTAAAAATAGGACAGACAAACATAAAATAGACACTAACATCACATTCCACAAATAAGTAATGCGTTTCAACTCATATTTTTATGTAATTATTCACTAAAACAGAAAAATAATTTCGCGGCAACAAGATACGAAAGTGTTGCAAAGTAACGAATTTTTTTTCTTCCCATTTTGCTATTCTGTATCAAAATAATTATATTACGTAAATTTTAGTGGTGCCTGTAATTTAGATTTATTTGCGCATCTTGAACTAATATTTACTTGAATAAACATTAAATGTTTTCGTTAACTCCTGTAAATGATTGGGACACTTAATTATTTTATAATACTTTTAACGACTCTGCGTTCATGCTTTATTGAATAATTATTTATTTTAATTTTATTTGAATTGGAGCACATATTGCAACAAATTTACAGTATATATTTGTTTCTACTATAGTGTTGGCACCACCAGTACAACTTTGATAGCTTATTATATGTCTTTTTTTTCGTAACTCAAGCGAAATATTTTATATTGAAATATTTTATTTTCTTAAAAGGGGAGCATTCTTAAGCGATTTTTTAATCTATTTTAACAGTTATTTTCTTTAATGTTTGCTTATGGCATTTTCGGTTTTAGGTGTCGAATATGGCCCTTATTTCTAAATACAAGATGGCGGGCGCGATTTTTCGAATAATGGCAAGTTGGGTATCGTTTTCGAGATGTTTGGGAATGTTCAATACAAATATGGCACTCATTTCTAAATCCAAGATGGCAAACACGACAATTCAAACAAAAGCAATATTCGTAATGAACACCCCCCAAATACCTCGAAAACGATACCCAACTTGCCATTATTTGAAAAATCGTGCCCGCCATCTTGGATTTACAAATAGTGCTATATTCACATTGAGCATCCCCAAATACCTCGAAAATGATACCCACATAGCATTTTTTTGAAAAAATCGTGCCCTCCATCTTGGATTTAGAAATGAGTGCCATATTCGTAATGAGCACCCCCAGTACCTCGAAAATGATACCCATATTGCATTTATTTGAAAACTCGTGTCCGCCATTTTGGATTTAGAAATGAGTGCCATATTCGTAATGAGCATCCCCAAATACCTCGAAAAGGATACCCATATAGCATATTTTGAAAAATCATGTCCGCCATCTTGGATTTACAAATAAGTGCTATATTCGTTTTTCATCGACAAAACCGAGCATATCTGTAGGCACCTGATCGACAATGTCGGGCAAATCTGTAGGCACCTTTAACTTAATGATGAGTTAAGCAAGATACAATTTCCCCACTTTTGAGGGAAATGTTATTCCATGGCATCATTATTTGTATATTTGTGTGCGTGCCGACGAGCGTAGTTACAAGTTGCTTACGCCTACATGAATTTGGTTATTGCTTCACTTATGACAGTTCGTTTGATATGAAACTATCATTCTATGCGTTATTATTCTAAGGTATAAGTTATATTATTTGATAAGAACATATAATTATAATATAATTATAATTTAATGTGTTACGCTAGCAACTGGCGCGCAAAACTAGATATAATAAAAATAGAAAAATGTAGAAGTCTGACGAGGTAAGGAGAAGAAAACTCCTACACAATGTAAAAACAGTTTGTAACAAGCAATTTAAAATAATATTATCTCCATTCTGTGTATTACTTCTATGAAGTTTAGAAAAATGTATTCTATCTATTCCGATTCCTCTTTGTAAATTTCATATTATTTAAAGAGTAATTTATTTATCAATGAAATTAAGGTATATTGAATTTTAACGCAGGCAAAAACATATCTTGACGTTACATGATTAGAATCTTTGCTTATAAAATGATATCATTTATGTAAAGAAGACTTCATGTAATTTGCAAAATAAAAGTATACAATATGCTATTTTAATGGTTAACTTTTTTAATTACAATTCTTTTGATGTTCTTTTTTTGAAATTGCGCAGGCATTGAATGAAGTCATAATAATAATTTAAAGTAATGTATAATGATTTCATAACTTAAGATCTTTACATTATAAGATAGATCAGGAACTTTCATATTTTATTTCTTGACGTTTGTTATTGGCATTTTCTTTAATCGATGAAAAATTAAGGATTTTGAAAGTCAATCGCCCTATATTTTTCTTTCCGTTCCTAGTTTGCTGTAAACTGCCTTAAATAATTATTTTCGTCGATTCCTTAGGATATTCAAAAGTGGAGAACATCTCTAGTTACGAAATGTCAATGTAATTGTGTTTATTTGTGTCGAATTGAGCGAATTGGCAAGCTGCAAAGCCTTTGGCTCTCGAGAATGGAAGGATGAAAATTCTATTATTAATGCAAATCCAGTTGTACGCAGTTAATACATTTTTTCCGTTGACTAATTATACCTTATTTATTATAATGCTGTATATCACAGTTTCCACGAAATGTCTTTTAAATAGATCTATTTCTTTCAATGAAACCACAAGCGCCAGTAGCGTTCCAAAATGATAATTGTCAAACAACTGCTTGTCATTGTAGTCCGGCGAAGCATTTTTCAACAGAAACAGTATCTTCTGTAAAAAGTAAATTTACGTAGTATTTCTTTCAAATTGTGTTTTATAAACGACATATCTAGTAAATATGGTAAGTGTTTTTATTTCTTTACACATACATTATTTCTTTGCGAAATTCATTATTTGAGTATAGGTTAAGTTCTTTCTGCTCGGTCATTTCATTATTGTTAGCAAAAATTACTTAATTTTTACGTATTTCTACAGGCTCGACGTTATGATACGCGCACGACTATCTTCTCGCCGGAAGGTAAGGCCTTTTACATTCTTTAATAATTAAGCTGTATTTGGAATGCTTTTTATAAAGTACCAGCGAATCAGCAAAACCTTTAAAGGACGTCTAATTTAAACTTTCCACTGTAGTAATATTATATAACATACCTTATAAGATTGCTATTATTATGAGTCAAGACAGTCTGTACCTATGATACTTTTTTTGTATAATACAACCTGAGGTAAATACTTTATATAAAAAATTCATATTCACAGGTCGACTTTACCAAGTCGAATATGCAATGGAAGCCATCAGCCATGCCGGCACATCTCTCGGTATTCTCGCTACAGATGGTATTTTACTTGCTGCTGAACGTAGAAACACCAACAAACTTCTTGATGAAGTGTTCTTTTCTGAGAAAATCTACAAGTTAAACGATGATATGGTCTGCTCAGTGGCAGGAATAACTTCTGATGCTAATGTGTTGACCAATGAGTTAAGGTTGATCGCTCAGAGATATATGCTGCAGTATGGAGAGTCTATTCCTTGCGAGCAGTTAGTGTCGTGGCTTTGTGATGTGAAGCAGGCTTATACCCAGTATGGAGGTTAGTGCTTATGCTTAGTTCATATTGGTGGCAGGGTTCTCTGAGTAACACTGCCTAGGTAAATGTCACTACCTACTACAACAAAGAAGCATAGTTGTGTTCTGGATTGTAGGTTAGAGAGAGAGCGCAATCATAAGCAGAATTACCTTCTATGGTTGGTAATGTTTTTGTTGTACTTTGTCTTCGCTGCTAAGGGTTACCCTTCCAAAATTTGGAAGGGTCTGGATAAAAACCCTGACATTTGCAAGAAAGTCGGGAATTTTTAGTAACAAAAAAAACAAAAAAAAAACCTGTCTTTCACATGGTAGCAGAGGTGGACAAGTACCAAGGGTGTGGAGTTTTCGTCATAAATTGAGCTTTACTACAGCATTGCAATGTGAACAAAAAGAAGGGCATTTGCAAGAAAGTCCAGCCCCCATAGCATAGCTATATAATAAGATAACAGTGGAATAAGCGCAGGCCATTGGCTGTCTCAATCAGATCGAACTTAGATAGCCAATAGCCTGCGCTTATTTCAATTTTATCGCGCGCGTCGCGACTGTCATGCGTAGCCATGCTACGGGGGCTGAAGTTTTTAGTAACAAAATAAAATAAAAAATGTCTCTCACACTGTAACAGATGGACAAGCGCCTAAGCTACAAAATTTTTGAATTGCAAGATGGAGGTTTTACTGTTGTGAGTGGTTACACACGGCGAATTTTTGCAGCGATGCAAACGCGCTTTCGTGAAACGCGCATTTATATCGCTACACTTGCGATTTATAGGCGATTACATCGATGCAAATGCACGACTGCAGTGATTGCATTGTTACTTAAAGTCGTGCGTGTGTGTCAAGGTAGACGATTAGCGACTGCATCGCGTTTGCATCGCTGTTAAAAGTCGCTGTGTGTAACCGCTCTTATTCTTAAAATTGACCCTAAACCAGACAAAATAAAATCCAGACAAAATCTGGACTGAGGGTCATAAAGCCGGATATATGCGGATGAATCCAGACGAATGGTAACCCTTCCCCTTATAGGTTCCATCCATCTGATTGTTAGCCAATTATGCACACAATAAAAAATGTACAATAGACAAATAGTTCGGAGAAGCAGTGCTGGGATTATTTTTTAAGTCCGTTACAATTATAACCTACATTATAAAACAACAAATTATTGATGTTTATTAGTTTTCAGTTAAATAATGCAGAATCTAAGTAGGAAATCACTGCGTTAGCTTTGATGTTAAAGTATGATAAAACTTATTTGCAGGTAAGAGACCATTTGGAGTATCAATTCTGTACATGGGCTGGGATAAACACTATGGGTACCAGCTATACCAATCAGACCCCAGTGGTAACTATGGAGGATGGAAGGCCACTTGCATTGGGAATAATAGCGCTGTAAGTGTTTTCTTTGTTCATAGCTCTAAATAACAGGTCAAACCAAAATACTGCAAGTCACAGTTCAATTCTGTTCAGTTTTGGTACAATTGGTTTAGTCTGCGAAGTACAATTATAACGGCTGCATAGAAATCTTTAATATCTAATGTACAACGTAAGTTACAAACTTAGAAAATGCTAAAAAATTATGTGTGCAGCTTTTTCTCAAAATGCTGGTTTTGATATTAAAGTGTATTGGTTTCATATGATAATAGACAAGGATTAGTAAACTAGTTGTTTGGTTGTTGACACACACCTGAATTATTTAAAAAAGGTGACAATAACATGTATTAAAGTATTTTTATTTCCTTTGCAATCGTTTATATAATAGTAATTTGAATTTTTCCATTTGTAAGATTAAGCGCCCAGTTACACGACGCGAAAGCTTTCGCGAGGCCGCCGCGCGGCGAGCGCTCAGGTACCACGCTTTCACGTACATTAATGGCGAATCTGAATTCTATTTACTAGGCAAGAACATTTAAATTCCTCTGAATAATACAACCGCGCGATCGCCGCGCGGCCTGAGCGCGTTCGCCGCGTAGACCAAAGACAAGCCAGACTCGCTCGCGCGCCCGGGATGCTCATTTAAGTTAAAACGTACAGGCTAAATAAATAGAGCCTACTTTGCCATGACAGTCAGATGCACGCGGTCGCTGCGGGGCGGCAACGCGGTCTCGTGACCGCGATGAAATTCGTGTCGAATAAAAGCGCCCTAAGACGAAAGCTTTTTTCCATGTTCTTTTGATCCTTGGAGATTGCCGATAATAAAGCTGTAATGCATACATTACATTCATTTTAACACTTGTTTTTCAATATTGTGATATTGCTAGATAAGAATCAGTATTTGTATCAACTCATGTATGTCGAATTGTATGGCATAATTTCTAGGCAATATAGCTCTAACAAATGTCAAAAAGAAAGCATTATGTTAACAGCCAGCAACACATATTTTAGACAGATAATTAGTAAAAGAAGGTTTTAAATACCAACACTTATAAAGCCGGAAAGTACAATGCTACCTGGCTGCTAATCTCTTCTCTCCCTATGTCTGACTCTATAAAAACTATTTTTTTCCTTATTAGGTATTTTCTTTATTTTTAGACACTGTGTCCAAAAATAAATAAATGTTATGGACAATTTTGTTTCAGGCTGCTGTTTCAAGTTTGAAGCAAGAATACAAAGAGAACGAGACTACACTAGAAGAAGCCAAGGCTTTGGCTGTCAAGGTCCTTGCTAAGACTTTAGACATGACCAAGCTTACTCCCGAGAAAGGTGAATTCATTTTAAATATCTTAAACAATTAGTATTTTAAAAGTTAGGGCTTTGGTGCGCCGTTTTCGTCGAGTCACCGCCACGGAAGTTCATGATTATGGTCCATGTGGAGCTTTGTTATAATGGACGAACCATTATAGCAAAGCTCAAGTTAAACTGGTGGATTTGAAGTGAAACAATTGACGACACCCGTCAATTGTTTCCAATTCGTGCTGGCCAATCGGAGCGCAGTTACAGTAATGATTTGGCAGAATAATTTTCAAACAAATTAAATGACATTTCGCCTCTATTTCTGGTTATATACTAGATGACACACTGGATCAACTCTTATAAGTTGGTTTTGGTTATAAACGTTTAATTTTTTTTTACGTGCATGCCTAACATGAGTGAAAACAAAAAATACTAGTTTTTAAAGTTATGTACTCAAATAAGAAGTAGCGCGAGTCAGTTTTTTATTCTACAGTGCTTTTGCTTGGTAGACAAGAGAAACACTACATTCGCGATTACGTTTTATCTGTTTGCGTTTACATTGCAAAGTTACGACCCAGTTTATTTTTTAATGATACCAAGTAACGGGGCGAACAAGTGCGTCTGGTGGTAAGCGACACGCCTGTTCATAACAGTTGCAGTGTTAGTCACTGTGTTACACACTGGCTTTTCGTCCGTCACCCTGATACGTACGTTGACAAATAAGGCAGAAATAGGTACGGTGGCAGTTCTTCCCTGGATTTATTTGTTTTCCTGTTCATATTTTTCAGTGGAAATGGCGACACTAACTCGTAAGGACAATAAGACATTTATCCGAGTGCTATCCAGTGCCGATGTAGAAGCCCTAATATCCGATTTTGAGGCCACCGAGGCCGCAGCCGAAGCCGCCAAGAAACAGCCTCCCAAGTCGTAATTTATTTTATAATTTGCATAAGTATTCTTTTATTTGAGCATTAAATGTTTTACATGGTACGGTGAATGTGTGTTAATTTATTTTCGTTAATAACATTGACCAATAATTCAAAAGGAATGCTAATCTCCATTCCAATTCCAGTTCGTTACTCAGAAAAAGGTAAAAATTCGTTTTAATCTATATAGCGCTGATCAATAGCCTGGATGAAGTTTATACTATGTAAATAGCCATAGCCGTGGGTATCAATTAATTCCTCTTTAATATGAAATATATGAGAAGTTAGTTTTTTCTTTGTAATATTATTCAAATATTAATCATGACTAAACTTATTTTCTGAACTTTGACAAATATGCTTGACAATAGATGGCATTGTACAAAAGAATATCCGGTATTCCCAAAAAAATCTGCAATAAGCGCCATCTAGTTGATTTGTTTGTTATCACTAGGAATTTGTAACTTTGTTAAATTGCAGCTTGTCATTGTAAAACAAATTAGTTACTATAATAGCTTTTCCTTAAATCTTTTATTTGACCAGATGCCAGCTCCATCGTTACAGATTATTCTTAGTTCTACTTACCTATCTATTTTTAAGTAACTTAAGTATTTTATTAGCCAGGTTACTATTAGATTCAGATAATATGTAATTGCACATGCCAACATCTATTATCTGATTCCAGCCTCTAGTTCTATCAGTCTTCGTTCCGCTCTGATCCGCATGGTAGGTGTCTTCTCTGGTGTTACAAATAGTACAGTTCGGGGTGTCTATTATCTTCATTAGGTGATCGAACGCAAATACTAAAATAGCTATTTGTTACTAATCGCGACAGTACCACCCGACTACGCCATCTTGTATCGCGATTGGTAGTCCTATTGAGTTGTAGTCCATGATTAATATTAATAATCTCATATTTTATACGTGTTATACTATGTTGATCACTGTTATAAATAACGCCGCTGGAGGTTACTGTCAATGATTTAAAAATATGATTCGAGAAATTATATGTTTTACAATTGAACGATTTTGTTACAAAGGACTCCAGTGAACGCAATAAGTTTTTTAACTGTAGCTTGTATTGCTTAAGCTCTACATGTGAAGGATTACCGATATTTGGATAGTTCTGACAAAAAACATGACGTTTGTATATCCGGACCTTTGAGTAACAAAATAAAATCGAACACCTCTTTTACGTGGCAATAAAGATGGACCAAAGCTTGAGCAACAAAATTTTTGTCGAAAATCAAGCTTTACTACAGAATTATAAGATGGATAATTTATTTTTTATTCTGAAAATTGTTACACTAAGCGTCAAAATACGACAAACGATAAATCTGGACACAAGGTAAAAAATCCGGATACGTTCGGACAAATCCGGACGGATGGTAACCCTATACAGGGACAAAAGATTCGTGATCGATTTTTAGTTATTCCAATTTGGGGAATGTTTCTTAAATACGACTGTTTCGCGGTCTTGGTAGCGCACACCCAGTGCCTAATAGGAATTTCGATACATAGGTGAAACATGAATTTTGGCTATACATAGATAAAAAAGATAGAGTTGATTTTTAAAAACAAAAACTTTATTCAAACCACACGCATGAACACGAAGTGTGTCCATTAAGTTACTTAATATTATTATTACAATAACAATACAAGTAATACTAATGTAAATATATAAACTTTTTTGTATAATATATATACAATGTATATATATACAATATACTTAACAAAAAATATTGCAAACTTATGAATTGTTTAGTGCTGTTAATGTTCGAACAATTTCTTTATTTTCTGGCCCTAAATACGTCCTACCATCAATGGAAATTTCATACCACATTTACATAAATATTTATTCAAGATATGATTAGTAGATAATTAAAATAAGATTAATTATAAAAACAGGTATTAATCTTTACATACTAAAACATTAATTCCTTAATTCATAATGTCGAATACAAGACGATGAAATAAAGGCGAAGGGCAAGTTTTGTATTAAACAATATTAGATTTGACTGTTTTTGCGACTGAGTGCGTGTTCATATAACATATTTGGTAGTTTTATGAAAAGTCAACTATTGAGTGTGGCTTATGAAATGTAGTTTTATAATAAATAATTACTAAATAAACTTACTCAACCATACGACAATGGTCGTTAATATAACTGGTCGTTATTTTTTATTGTCATATTCAACGATATCCATGTACTATGTGATATGTTTATTATTTTTGGCGGTTTAGAAATAATTTAAATAAATATGATAAAATAAACTCCGATTCCTTTTTTTTCTTTAGTTCTGGGGCTAGTCAACTTGGTCATGATAGGTAACATCATTTCTTAGGGAGTCAACACAGTATAACACGCAATCACAGTAAGTCGTTCAGAAAAAGTTTTATGTGTATATAATAAGAGGGAAAAAGGTGTGCGTTTGGCTTCGGCGGCGTTCCGAGTCTTTTTCTTTTGCAAGAACATAAAACTTTTTCTGATTAGCTCAAGCTGATTACGCGTTAATAAGTACTTTTATTCTTTAAGAAACAACAGCGACTATGAAGTAAATGTAAAAGAAAGCCATCGAGTGCCAGAGTCCAAATGTTAGTTACTTAGTCAAGGTAAGGAAATAAGTAGGATGAAACCCAGAAGATCATGCCTTATTGCCTCTAACTACCTAAACACTCAAGCACTACTATGCCCATCAGTTGACCCAGATATACCTAGTCACAAAGTTTTCCTTGTAGTCGACACCACGTCTATAATAGGCTGAATCATAATATAAATAAGAGTCATCAGTACAAATACCATCATACACGTAGCAAGGCCTTCTCTGTCTGTCCTGAAGAAATCCGTATTAAAACCTATAACCAGGGTAATAAGGCCCATGGAGACTGCAAATATACCAACGGAGATATGCAGGATTTTGACTGGTCCGCTCTTGATCATCAAACGTACTTTTGACGAGAAGAGCGCAACAATTCCTGATATTAAACTGATGATAGAGAATGCTAGAGCTATTACACCTGAAATTTAAGAGAAATTTTACGTAAAAAATAAGTAATTATATTCGCCTAAATTATTCTAACCTACTTATCACCTGGTTCCGTGAGGTAGTAACAACGAATCGCGTTGATTCGATCAGTAAAAGCTTTATGTCCATGGAATAATACCGAAAACGACAGGCGTTTCGCGTCCTTCCGTTTCTGCTTCCGAGAGGCAGCGAAATCATTGCATGAGTATAAAAATTTCTTTTTCTGACCGGCTCAAGCCAATTTAATGACTGTGGTAACTACTTTATACGGATTTAGTGTTGTATTAGTTTTCGTCCCAAACAAAACACGTATAATATTGATGCAGTGCTGAAGCGTCTTAATAAATTTAAATCCTTAAGGGATGTTTACAAGTCATTAGTCCCGTGGTTTATAGTTCCAAACATGACCGCTCCATATCTTTACTTGCGTATCGTATGCGATTAAGGGATACATCCATGAGATGAGAACCAGCACCTCTTTAGATTGTAACTTTACTGCGCTTGTCTTGTGTTGCAATTCGGGCAATATCAAAGGTATTTATTTACCATCCTACTGTCACTATATAGTACAACAAACTAAACAACTTTAGACGAAAATTAATAACAAATATAACATGTATTTTTTAAGCGACATGAGATTGGTTCCCGTGCTTAGTTGTTAGAACGAAAAGAAACAAAGAATCAAACAAATGACAAATAAACTAATTTATTTCTGTTTCTAGGTCTGTTCAGTTTATTTAATAGAATTATACTTATTTGTTCGCGTGCACAGTTTCCCATGCAAAACGCACACTGTTGACCGGAAATATGTATGAGAAAAAAAAACTTTTCTCAACGATATCTATGTTTATCTACAATTTTTTTGTTATATTGTGACGATTAAAGGACTATTACGATAATAACGTAAAATATGGTCGGACCTTTTTGATGTGCCGCTTATGTAAGTAGCGCAAAATACAGACGTCCTTATTGTTTAATGGCGTCGCCTCTTTCGGGTTTCGCCAGCGGCAGCGTCAATTTTATAAAAAAAATAATAAAAAATTAGGACGAACGTCGCCAGTCAAATTACTCTTTGTAAAAAAATTGACTAATAATCTAATAATTGTGTTCGTTATAATTTTATTCCAATTAGATTGACACCCTCGTCGAATTTTAAACTTTTTTTTATACCACTATAAGAGTTAAAAAATTATTTATGACTAATCTTAGAATAATAACGCATAGAATGATAGTTTCATATCAAACGAACTGTCACAAGTGAGGCAAAAACCAAATTCATGTAGGCGTAAGCAACTTGTAACTACGCTCGTCGGCACGCACACAAATATACAAATAATGATGCCATGGAATAACATATCCCTCAAAAGTGGGGAAATTGTATCTTGCTTAACTCATCATTAAGTTAAAGGTGCCTACAGATTTGCCCGACATTGTCGATCAGGTGCCTACAGATGTGCTCGGTTTTGTCGATGAAAAACGAATATAGCACTTATTTGTAAATCCAAGATGGCGGACACGATTTTTCAAAATATGCTATATGGGTATCCTTTTCGAGGTATTTGGGGATGCTCATTACGAATATGGCACTCATTTCTAAATCCAAAATGGCGGACACGAGTTTTCAAATAAATGCAATATGGGTATCATTTTCGAGGTACTGGGGGTGCTCATTACGAATATGGCACTCATTTCTAAATCCAAGATGGAGGGCACGATTTTTTCAAAAAAATGCTATGTGGGTATCATTTTCGAGGTATTTGGGGATGCTCAATGTGAATATAGCACTATTTGTAAATCCAAGATGGCGGGCACGATTTTTCAAATAATGGCAAGTTGGGTATCGTTTTCGAGGTATTTGGGGGTGCTCATTACGAATATTGCTTTTGTTTGAACTGTCGTGTTTGCCATCTTGGATTTAGAAATGAGTGCCATATTTGTATTGAACATTCCCAAACATCTCGAAAACGATACCCAACTTGCCATTATTCGAAAAATCGCGCCCGCATCTTGGATTTAGAAATAAGTGCCATATTCGAAACCTAAAACCGAAAATGCCATAAGCAAACATTAAAGAAAATAACTGTTAAAATAGATTAAAAAATCGCTTAAGAATGCTCCCCTTTTAAGAAAATAAAATATTTTAATATAAAATATTTCGCTTGAGTTACGAAAAGAAAGACATATAATAAGCTATCAAAGTTGTACTGGTGGTGCCAACACTATAGTAGAAACAAATATATAAGTACTGTAAATTTGTTGCAATAAAATATGTGCTCCAATTCAAATAAAATTAAAATAAATAATTATTCAATAAAGCATGAACGCAGAGCCGTTAAAAGTATTATAAAATAATTAAGTGTCTCAATCACTTACAGGAGTTAACGAAAACATTTAATGTTTATTAAAGTAAATATTAGTTCAAGATGCGCAAATAAATCTAAATTACAGGCACCACTAAAATTTACGTAATATAATTATTTTGATACAGAATAGCAAAATGGGGAGAAAAAAAATTCGTTACTTTGCAACACTTTCGTATCTTGTTGCCGCGAAATTATTTTTCTGTTTTAGTGAATATTTACATAAAAATATGAGTTGAAACGCATTACTTACTTGTGGAATGCGATGTTAGTGTCTATTTTATGTTTGTCTGTTGTATTTTTACACCCATTTACCGCACATTTCGTCATTTTTAGCAAAAAATTTTGGAGCTGTTCGCGGTGCAATATGACCTTGAGCACTAACAGCCCGCGCGCTCCTGGGACGCGTTTGGAACCCTCTAACTTGCCTCACTTAGCGTGTGCGGGCTAGGTTTCTATGCGTTATTATTCTAAGTGACTAATATTATAAACAATGATCTAATTGTATTTATAGTTCGGAAAAGTAAAATAATAATAGTATGTAGGTATCGCATTTTTTGTCTTCGTCGTACTTTTACGTACACGGACTAGATGGCGCTAATGCGTGAGAAAGTTTTCGTCTATTGTGCATTTTTGTCTATTGAAACGCGGCAGTTGAATAAAGATGAATAGATCTTACCACAAATTCCGTGAGCAGTATTAATTTGCATATCCGTTTCAGCCAATGCAAGGAAAGTTCCAGCTATGACGAATACTGAACCAACAAGTTGCAAGCTTCCATGAACGATTCGTTTTCCATCGGCAGACAGTTGGAAGGACCACGAGTTGTGCCGATGAATCGTTAGGATTGCTTCTACTAAGAATAGTTGATACTGGAATTAAAGGTTACTATATTGATAAATGTAATAGAAAAATACCAGTGAACTAAAAAAACGTGTGGTTTCACCTGATGATGGCTGTGGCAACCGTCGCTCTAGACATTTGCAAAAGAACTAACTGCTAACACTAATTAATAATTATAACAAACTAGTGGAGTAATTTCACAAACAATAATTGAATATCATGGTGGTGAAACATTCTAACATTCAACTTAATTACAATTATTAAAGCGACATCTCAGTCAGTTGCTGGTAGCATTAACGGTACATGGCAGAGTGAAGAAATATATTTGCAAAAGAGGTCGTTAAAAAACCAAAACAAAGATCTGCAGCAAGCACATACAAAAATTCGTAAGGTTCGCTGGTTCGTTCCGTGGCATAGGGTCTAACACGGTTTGTTAGGAGAACGTTTGTGCGAAACGAGCCGGATCGAAAGAATTTTTTCTAAGTGCTCGATGTTTGTATTAATAATAATATACACATTTTTTTAATTTTAAAAGGAAATCAGAAATAAAATAAATCATATTAATATGTGGTACTATATCGTAGTAGTCTTATATATGAGTGGAATTTTTCATCAGAAGAAACATTGGTTCCAAACTAGTAGGTACTTGCAGCATCCTGGGTAGAAAACGGACGTCTTTCACAATAGTTTCATTTCCAATACCAATAGGTAATAATCGCGAAAACCTAATAACTCGATAAGTGGTTGATTGTTATATCAACTACGATTGACGTAACACTTTTTGATTCACGCGTGATCATTGTATGGGTAAGGTGTGCTGATTCTTTGAATTCGTTCATAATGTTATGAACGAACTGAAGAGACACGCAGTGTTGCCAGGGTCTGTGAGTCGAAAATTACATTTCGTTACCAGATAAATTACATATTAGCTGCAAAAGTTACATTGTACATTTTTTTTAAACTACACTCGCTAACTGGAAAAGATATCGTACGCCTTAATCCTAAAAATAAAAAGTAAGTACCTACAATGAAAAAAAATCTAGCTAGAACCGGTAATTGAATGTTTTCATTTGTTACTCTGAGTTGCTTTATTGTCCAATTTGGGCGGATTCGTAAACTTTTTAGGATTTACAATAACAAAGTAGTTGAATTTAAACTCATCGACCACAAAAGTTAGGAAAATTGTCTTAAAAGAAAAATTACTTACATTCTGAGTGAGAAGGTCAAAAGTTACGAAAAATGTAAGAAATGTAAGAAAAATGTAAAAAATGCCAGATGGTTATCTGGCAACACTGGAGCCATATACAAAATCAAACTGGAAAATGGCACAAGCGCATTTTACTAACCATTATCTACGAATAAGTGCAGCGGCTTGTACAGGCTTGAAAAGAATTCATGTGTGATTACGACCTATAAAACGATGATAACAGCATCTCGGTCAAGTGCTTTCAACGAATTTATCTACAGTATCCACTGTACCTATTAGCGAATAAACAGATTTAAAATTCTGCCAAATATGAACCGGGATAAGGTCTTTTTGTCAAAATTGTGTAAAATAAATTTCAGAAAATAGTTTTGGAATCTGACAACTGTAAACTGACTGACTTACTGACTGTAAAGCGTACCGTTAATCGATGAACGTGTATAAACGCTGCCTACCCCTATGGGAAAAAGGCGTGAAGTATATATGTATGTATGAAATAAAGCTCATTTGTAAACGAAGATGTGATACCTGGTCACTTTTTCGACCACCATTTGCGACAAAATTAATAGTTTTTTTTTTAAATTTAGGATAGAAGCGAGCAGCTAAGTCGAACGCAATAGTCGTTTTTGAGAAGTGAAATGAGCTACCTGGAAGGTTGTGGTTTCGATTTATGTAAATAAGTACGATAAGGTATTTTATGGAGTGACTGAGTGACTAACTGGATATGCAGTTTTATTGTGAACTACTTGAAGCAATGAACTATAGTTGACACTCAAAAGAAAAAAATTGTGTAAAATTTACTACTCGCACTAGTCCAGTCAGTGTGCGAAGTGTGTGGGAATTTATAAACAGTATATACCTCCCTACATCTAGATCGTGTTCATTACGATTATTTCGACATTCACAAACATCTACAAAATATACAATAACATCTACAAAATATACAATCATCTACGTACTCCAGTTCCAGCAAAAACGATATGAAGCTGCAAATTGGTGATCACTCCATTTGACTCTGACGTCAGAGCGAAGTTCCATATGCAGAATACTACAATTGCGACTTGCATGTGATGAAGTAGATTTACCAGCTGGCATATCGCCATCCACGCTGATTCCCATGAGCTTTTATATTGTACCGCACTCTCTTCATCGTACGATTTGGAGGTCCTCGTGACTTCAGGGTGGTAAGGAACATGTTCCCTCAATTCATACATTTCCACCTTATCTATCTTCTCTACGGACTGCTGGCTCGTACCAGGTCTATCCATATTTATGTTAGTCTTAGAACGGACCCCACGAACCGTTGTTACAGTTAAAATACGCGATCACATAGACGCTTAATAACATTCGTACTAAATTCATCTCGAGATCTGTTTTCTAGATAAAATAATTCGACTTATTATCGCAACAGAATGGAGAGTTTTTGAGATAACTTGCGTAACTTTGTGATAGCAATAAGATGAGATTGCTAATCTTAACTGTTCTATGAAGAATGTTGAAATTCATAGCTCTCCTGAATCGTAAGAATGGTATGTCATGACTCAATTGATAGTAAATAAAAAAAAGATGTCGATGGCCCTGTTACTAGCAAAGATCAATAATATCAATATTATTCCAGACATATTTTACAATGCAATTGTAAATTTTTGTATATAAGATCATCGTGCCCAAAACCTATTCAAAAATTGTTATTTGCTATGAATGTTGAAGGTATCGTCACCTCGTATTTTCAATATTTTTAATTTGCTGACGTGTCGCCACTGTTTGCGAACATTTACCAAAAAGATTGGCTACTGTAACCATCTAAGGGCACATGAAAGAGCAAACAACCGTAGCTCTAATTAATCAATAGCAGTTCGCTGTAGCCAAAATCGGCTAGGACATACACACACAGATTTTCAATTTGAAAACTATACCTCAATCTTATCAACGATTAGAAAATAAAATATTTTCATCGAGTTGACTGCGTCGTGTACGTACACACGCGTAGGTGTACAGTCAGTTTCTTTACACTAAAATATTCTTGATATACTAATTTACACTACTCGCCACTAGATGTCGCCGTAAGTACCAAATTTTTTCAACTCGTAATGTTTCGGATGGAATGTTTGAAAAGTCGGCAAAGAATTTGAAGAATCTTCACCAATATGCATGTTTCATTTTGTAGATGCCTATTCGACCCAGGAGTCACTACAACGACTTGCTCGAGTTTGTAATTCTTAAAATTTCTCATCATAAGCCGTAAATATTGTAGTACTACTATCATAAAGACCACAAATCTAAACTTCGCCTACAGGTGCTAGGCCTACTAAAAAAAGTCTTTCAAAATGCCGCAGCTATTAGGGAGGTTGTTCCCGCCTCCCAATTAATAAGGGAGCTAATGAATTCCTGCGGGTCTATGGTCGAGGCGTAACCCATTTGTCACCGAGGCATTTGATAACGAGGGTCAGAGGAACCCTTCATCTTTTTTCTATAAGGAAGGGTTATTGGCCTTGTCTAAATTGCTCTAGAGAATTTGAACTTTTAATGGAAAAGATGGTTTGATTTGTTGGTAAGTTAACAGTAGGTACAAATCGAAATACCGTACATAATAAAATCTGCTTTTCGATGTCAGTGTCATATTTTGTATATTAGATAGATCTTTATTGATAAGAATCATTATAATAATGTGAAAAATAACATTTTTCCGCTATGGTTTTCCTCCTTTCTCTATATTTGGTTATTATTTTATATTAGGTTTGTTTACTTGAGTTCAGGAAATTTTTTGTAACATGCAGAATTGTAATTAAGAAATGTTAACCGTGACTAAACTTATCATCTGCTATCATAACTGTGTCAGTCGCCGAACGGCCACCATGCTAGACTGCAGAGGTTCCGGGTTTTATTCCCGTACCGGGGGCCTTACTTATTACAGTTCAGTATAGGTTCGTAAATACAAAAAAGCGGGATGGTAATATACATTTCATGTAGCGCTGTCGCACAAGGATTTTTTTAGGTCCTAAACTGAATCGTAATAAGAGTTCATGGTAAGATCCCTGGAGACATATTTGTATGGCTCACATTTATTTCTCTCGTGAGTTCGGAAGTAATTGGTGGTTGCCTTTGTGTGTATCCATGGCATCCGCGATACAAGTTTTTCTCTAGTGGGGAGCTATGAGTGTGTGCGTATCTTCTTCAAGTAAAAACTTTGAAGTTATTAACACAAAGATCGAACACAGACGAAAACTCCTTCAATCTGAGAGGACTCGAACTTGGGTGTGTATGCCAAACTAGGGCCACCGCTCTACGAACTGAGCTATGGAACGAAGCAGATCTTACGAATTCCTCTGTGTGTTTGTTACAGACTTTACGTATTTTTCCTAGATTGATAAGGTATGAAGTTACCGCAAGAGAAAACTAACAAGAGATTTTTTTAAATGTATTATTGAGACTTTTTGTAAAATAACTCCACTAGTTTTGTTATGATTAATAATGCAAAGATAGAACACATAGAAAAATTTTTTCGACCTGGTTGGAATTGAACTAACGACCATGCTGCGCTGTGGCTTTCCTCTTACCAACTGAGCCACAGGATGAGTTTTTTTTTCAATTCACTTCATTTTTATTTTTAATTAATTTAATTTCTTTGAACATTATTTTCTCGGTTAAGAGTTTTCGTCCAAGCGCCCATTCAATAAACGGCGGCAGTAGTTTGGCAATTGTTTGTAGGTTCGCGTCCTGTCTGATCTTTGTACTATTTATATATATATATATATACTATTATTGTAACAAACTAGTATAAAACTTTCACATAAAATAAATAAATATCATAGTAGTAAAAACTCATGATATTCAACAAAATCAATATTCTATCCACTTAAGCGAATAAAGTAAACAGAAAAGTTTTATACCGTCATTACCTTAACTGGGCGCAACACTTCCCGACTAGCGACGATTATAAATCGATTCCACCGGCGGTTACTCGTACCATGTATCGATTATGGCCGATTATTGATTCTGATTTATTGGGATAGCGCGTGACTTTATTTATACGGGATCGTGGATAGGCACTTAGGTGTTTAGTATATTTGAAATTTTACTTCACCATCTAGTCATCATTTCCTTACTTGTTAGGTAAAATTTGAAATTGAAAACATCTTTAGTAGGTACGTAACTCTGGTTACGTAAGTTGAATTGAAAGATATGGAAACAAAAGAACATCTACAATAGGCATCGAACAATAATAAGAAAATATGTCAAATGTAGACGTTAGAAACTATTTACTATATTTATTACTATTTACTATTTATTATATTATAACGATTTTTGTATAATAAAAATTCTTATTCAATTAAAATGTTCATCATCATCATCAACCCATTTATATGTCCCATTGCTGGGCACGGGTCTCCTTTTCGGACGGACTTCACACTGCACGATGTTTTTCCTTCACCGAAAAGCTCATGATGATGAGATGCGATTTTAATTATATTTTGAATATAGCTTTAGAGACTTGAAAAATTTAATTAAATAAAATTGTATTTTTCTTGGCTGTATACGTATATCTGTAATTAAATGTCAGCATGTTTCACCACCATGACATTAATTTATTTTTTGTGGAATTACTCCACTAGTTTGTTATAATTATTAAACCAAAATTGAACACTTAGAAAAAACTCATTTCGATCCAGGTGCCAAACGCTATGCCAACTAAGACACTGAACAAACAAACGGGCCTCACGAATAGTTCCATGCGTTTGTTACAGATTTTTGTTTTGGTTTTTAACGACGTTTTTGCCGTAGCGCCATCTGTGAGAAATGTATGAAATATGTACGTATTAATCACAAATACTTTCTGAAAATTTGTCCAATTCCGCTATTGATACATGTAATACATTTTTATTTTATGGAAAAAACTTCTTTAACATTTTAATTTGAATTCTCTATCTTCTTTCTAAACGCCTGTTTTGATATTACTACAATGCTCTCAATATTAAGAAGTATAGTCAACCAGAGTGCAAGAGCATCACAAGAGCGCACGCCTCACGTCATTCCCATGCCTGATAATTATTATAAATCGGTCGCTCGCCGGCCGTCTGTGGCTCGCCGACTGCATTCGATTACGATTAGATTTATCGTCATGCTGCACAGGCGCATACGTGAATCATCCGACAATTTTAGGCGCTTTGTCGAATAGTTTTGAGGATCGTGTACTGTATAGGAAATGTTTTAATTCCTTTTTCGGCATTTTCTTTAATGTGTAGCGATGGAGTGCCTCAAGGACATGTTAGAACAAGATTAATGTTTATGACGAATGAAAAAAAATGTTTTGAGTTATTTTTTATGAAGAGTTTTAAAACGTGTTACCATTCTGAAATATTTTAATACTCTTTGGAGTTGTTGAGCACTTCCAGAAACAATTTCGCTGATTTGTTAAAAGTTTTTTTTATTGAGTGGTTATGAGACGTACGGCTTTTTAAACCAGTAGAGTGCCCCAAGGAACCTAGCGTCAACTTTATTTAATATTGTGTAGGTAATCACGTTGTAACTATTATTTAGTATATTGCTTATAAACGTCATTAACAACATTTTAATAGGAACTTTGTAACTAAAATGAACGGCAAAATTAATTTGAACATACTGTTTTAATTGTGCTATCATATACTCGTATATATTTCGAGTTCTTAAGTATTCGCGATTGTTACACAACATAAATGACACTATTTTTCTTTTTTTTGTTATTTTTGTTTTTTGCCACCTTAAAGCCACCTTATTTTGATTTGTGTAAAAAACAAATATACGCGATTAGTATCCGAAAAATAGTTTCATTTCCTATGTATATTCTGATTAAAAGTAAAACCACATAAAGGGTATTTCTCATAAAAAAACCTCAAAATTACGTAGCTGTTTTGGTAAAACTCAAATGTTATAGCTTTTTTTTATTAATTACAGTTTATAACTTTTTTAATATTGAGTTTTACCTCCAGAAAGATCCTGATTTTCTTACCATAGCTATGAAATATTATGGCTTTTGTTGAAAATGTCACTTACGTAGTTTTACTTTTAAGTAGGCAATATACTATAATATCTTATTTACTTTATTGTGTGTTGTTAAACAATTCTACAAGTTGCGTTACATACCTAACTAGTTAGGAATGCATGTAATTTACAATCGACCACATTATTCACAGACTACTAATATTGAGACACAATACCACAATTTGCAGTAAAAATAATTATAGGTAATTAAATGTTTTTAAATTAAAATTAAATCACAATCATAAAGTAAGCGAAGTCCGCCATTAATAAG